TTTATTTACAAAAAACTTGTTTTAAAAATAAAATAAAATATTAATTTTATTTTATAAATGTGTAAACTAAATAAACTATTTAATATTTATAAGATTTAAATTTATTTTTTATAAAAAAATCATTTAAAATTAAAAAAATACCCAATAATTCTTTTTATGTAAAATATCTATTAATTAAGTAAAATTTTAGGAATATATCCATATCCTATTTATAAAAAGTAAATATCAATGTATATAAAAATAAAAAAACCTGTAAAAATACATATTCCAATAAAACAAGTAATTAATAAAAGAGGATAGAATATAAAAGGATTAGCTATACATTTTAAAATATTATTATACATGAAAAAAGTTAATAAGACCGACATCCATTTTGGTATAGATTTAATAGAATCTTAAATCTATTTTTTTTATTTTTTTTTTGTTAATATTATAATTACTTTTTATCTTAAAGCTGATTTATATTCTTCTTCACTTTTTTATTTAAAATCCGCTTCTATTTTATTTAATTAAGCTGAATCGATTAAAATATCAAAATAATTGTCTTAAGTATCATTATTTTCTGACAATCTGAACTTATCAAACATTTTTAATAAGCCAATAGTTTTATTTCTAGATTCTATATATAATTTTTCGATAGTATTTTCTTACATTGTTTTCCATTTTCTTGTTAAATCATTTTTATCTTTAGTAAATATTTATTTATATCTATAAAAAATTACACATTTATGAATAAATTACATAAAAAAAATAAAAATACTTTTTGAATAAATAGTAAGGTAAATCTCTACTTTTTTAAAAAACCTCAATTTTAAAGATCGAAAAAATTTCTTTTTTAATTTTATTAACTTCATTAGAAACAAAATTTTATTCATAATAAGGTTTAACCTCTTCTTATATTTTTAAAAAAACGGAATTTTCAAATTCTTTTTTCTTATTTTAAAGATTTTCCCAAAAACTCTATTCTAAAATATCAAATTAAATTGCTACAATTTTATCAACTTCTTATTTAATAAAGTTGATTTTTTAGTTAATATATTTAAGAACTTCGATATTTTTCTATTATTTAAGAATATTCTCTAGAACACTTTATAATTAAGAATCGATTTTATCAACTTCCCATTCATCTTTTTATTTTTAGAAAGGGATAAAACTATGGATTATACTGAGTATTTTTTGGGAAAAATTTCCTTTGATTTTTTCCATTTTTTGCATTACGTCAAAAAACGATTTTTCATTTTGTAATTTCTCGATTTCATCTTCGATTTATTTTTAAAATTTTAATTGTAAATTATTAATTTATTAATAGAACAAGTCTTTGATTTAAGCCATTAATTCGTTATATAAAACATTTTTTATTTATTCCCTTATTTCTTTATCATAATATTTAGTTTCTTTGTAGTAAAATTCTAAACTTTTTTTATAATTTCTCTTGCTTATTGTCCAAATACTTCAGCTTTATTCTCTTTTATTGAGTTTGTTAATTTTTCAAAAAAATCATGAACATAATCTTTTGCTTATTCTTTAATTTTAAAACATCTTATTTATGATGCTTGAATTTTTTAATTTGGAAGATTTATATCTTCAAAGTTTTTAATGGTTTTCCATAAATTTTATGAAAGATCTTCTAAAGCTCTAATTGGTAAATTTAATTCATAATAAAAATTTTTAAATATGTAATTTTAGTGATTTTTATTAATAAAAATATCACGTAATTAAACCATTTCTTATTAAAATCTTTAAATATAAATTAAAATGAATATATAAATATTTATTATATTAATATTATATTAAAATATTATTATATATATATATATATATATATATATATATATATATATTTATTTATTATTTATTTATTACTATTTTTTCTTAAATATAAAATGCGAACATTTAAAAAAATTTATTTAAAAAATATTTTCTGCTTATAAGTTCTTTATTTCTTTTGGTTTTGATAATTCATTCCATATATCTTTTATTTCTTATTTTATATCTCTACATAATATTTCATAATCATCACTTTCGTCACTAAAATCTCTTAAAATAATAATTATCTATTTAATTTAATCATTCTTAAATAATCTCAAGTTCATTTCAAAAACAAATCTTACTATTGAATATTCTGATTCATGTCCTAAATTTAAAGTATTCAAATTAATTATTAATACTTACGAAAATGCCAAAGCAAATAAACAAGTTGATTTTTCAAAAATCTATTTTTTTATATATTTTTATGAATTTTACATATTTATATATATACCCCTCCTCCTTTTTATTCCTTTGATCTTTAACGACTGTTGGAACCTTCTACATCTAATATTATAAAATTTTCTTGTTTATCTCGGGATAAAAAAATTCCTTTAGTGGTTTAAAACTTACTTTTTACCTTAAGAACTTCAAATGATGTACCAAAAAGGTGATTCAAAAGAGTTGATTTTCCGGAATTTTAAGATCCAATAATTGAAATTATATTGTATTAATATTGACAATTTTATAAACCGCTTTATTCTAGGAATTAGTGAAAATTAGGACTGTTTTTTTTAATGTTAATATAATTATATATAATACTTTAAATCGAGATGTTAATTAACTATATGGTATTATATATTTTATGCCATTTTTTTTATATAAAATTAATTTTTAGATTCAATATAATATAATTAACTTATTACTAAAAAAAAAATATTTTTGCTTATTTAGTCTTTATTTAATTATATTTATAATAGAATTATGAGTATTTTTATTATAATTATATATATTATATTTATGCTATTTAAAAAAAATATTAAATTATTTATAAAAATATAAAAATATAAGCAATATATGAATATTTTTTTTTCTTTCTTTGTTTAATAAAAAAAAAAATATTAAAAAAATATAATAAATAAATTAAAAAATAAATATATTTATTTATTTAATATAAATATGAAAATATATATATATTAATAAAAAAAAATATTTGTATATAATTTTTTAAAAATAAAATTATTTAAATATTTTTAAGATAAATATTAGTAATATTATAATAAATTTATATATTTCTTAAAAAATATTATAAAGAATTAATATAAATATATAAATATATAAATATATATTTATTATAATATTTTTAAATTTATTTTATCTTTTAATTATTATATTAATTTTTTAAATAAATGTGTAAATCTATTATATTTCTTTTTTATAATTATAAATATTATAATTTTTTTTTTAATTAATATTAAATAAATTATTTATACTTTTTTATTTTTTTAACATATATTTAAATAAATTATTTTTTTCTCTTTTTATATTAAATAATATTATAATTATCATTTAATTTAATTTTTTTTTATTTTAATTTAAAAAATAAAAAATATATATATTAAAATAAAAAATAAAAAAATATAAATATAATGGCTCTTTAGTAAAATAATCCATAATTATATACTAATCAAAACACTTAACTACATTTATTAAATTAAGATCTAGTTAAAAAGAAATTTAATTTAAAGGATAATTCGTAAGAAAATTTTCATTAAGTTTATGATAAATTAAAAGAAAGGGTATCTCAAAACAGAGAACATCCATTAAATTACCCAAATCCGCCTCCTCCTACATCAATAACGGAAATTAAATCAATATAAATAAATTAAAATTAATAAATGAAAGCATGTTAATTTCAAAAATAAAATATTATAAAATTATAAAGCACGTAAGAATAAAGTAATTTAGATACTGAGTATAGTAATTCATAATAATAATTATAATAATAAGGTAAAAAATAAAACACTAAACACTAATAATCAAATTAAATATAGAAATAATAAAAATAAAATTTAAATTAAGATTTTTCAAGCTATAATAATTAATAATAAGGAAATTAAATTGATTTTAGAAATTATTAGTACAGTAATATAATATATATGGACTTTTTTTATTTTTTTTGTTTTTTTTAACAAAAATAAATAAATATATATATATATTTAATTTATATATATATATTTTTTTCTTTTTCTTTTTTTTTATTCCTTTATGATGTTCTTATATATTTATTTTAATTTTTTGATATAGGTAATTAATAATTTGAAAATTTTCATATTTAAGAAGATAAAAATAATATCAAAAATTAATTTAGTAGTGATTAAATTGAAAAAATACGTTAATATGTAGAATCATAAAGTATTTTTATTAAAAAAAAAGAAAATTCTATTTTTTATTAATTAAAAATAAAATAGAAAGAAAATCTTTTGATACAAAAAAAGATTAAATTTTAGAAAAAATAAAAGAACTATAATAAAATGGAGTAGAATTTTTACCTAAAGAAAAAAAAGAATATGAACTAAATAAATTTACGAGAAAAATGAAATGTCCTTATTATAAATGTTAAAAAGAATATAAAGATAACTAAATTAATAAACATATTAAGGAATTCCATCCTGAACTTGTAATTAAAATTATATTATATATATATATATATATATATATATATATATATTTAGTTTTATTATTATTTTTGAAGACTGAAATAAATTTCGAAATAGACCCGAATACAGGATAGTTTAAATTTAATGAAAGCGTACTTGATTATATTCTTTTAATTTCAGAAATTTTCCCTTTTTAATATTAAGAATATTTAAATAATGTAAACAATATAATAATAAATATTATAATTATATATAATTTACTTACTTTTTTTAAAAAAAAATAGATGTGTATTTAATTAAAAAAGAAAAGAAAAACCGAAAACGTAGAAATAGAAGTTAAGAAGAGTAAAAATCTAAAAGAAAGAAAATATAAATTATAATAATAATAATAACAATTATCGGAATAATGATTATTTTTAATAATATATATATATATATATATATATATGTTTTCATTTAAATATATTTATATTTTTTTATTTATAATAATAATTTTATTTTTTATTTTTTTTTTTAAAAAAAAGAAGTGTTATTTTATTTCATTTTTCTTTTAAAAATTAAAATATAAATAAAATGATATAATATTTTTATATTTCAACATCTAAATATTAAAACCTATAATGGCCCTTTATTTAAAAGTATAAAATAACCCTCTTCATGTGTAACGTATGAGGAGAATTATTTACCAACAACGACATGCCATTATCCTAAATGTCTTTTATCAAATTCTTTTTTAATATAATATGAAATATCTCTTTCATTTGTATATTTATCGATTGATGCTAAAACTATATTTGAAGCATCATTTTGCATATCTTCTGTCATATCAGAAAGTTTTATATTTGGCTTTTTTAATTTGAAGTATTAGTGTTTTCTTTTTATTAATTTTGCATTTTTTTTATTGATTAATTGATTTTTTTTTTTTTAAATAATAATTATTTTATATTATATGAAACTTATTTATTTTTTTTTAATTTGTTATTTTTTAGTTTTTTTTAAAAAAAATCATTTTTATTTTTTTTATTTTATTTTATGGGCAAAATAACCTTACTTTTCGACTTCTAAAAATTCTTCTTTTTAATTTTTGGAAATTTTATTTTCAAAATCTTCAAGAACATCCATATTTTAAAAACTCAAAATATATTCTAAAATTTTAAAACCTTTTCCATAATTGTTTTCCATATTTTATTTAAGAAATTCTATATTACTGTCTGATTTAATCAACCAGTCTAAATGCTGTGAATTTGCTTAATAACTTTCACTTTCAATATAATCAGCAAATAATTCTTCTCCATTTTATATATTTTTAATTGCGAAAACTCCCATTCCATGTATGTAATTTTAATTATTAAAAATACTATCTTATTTATAAAATTATAAAAAAGTATATATATATATATATATATATATATATATATATATATATATAATAAATTTAAAAATTTTCATTTACTAAAAATTGAATATCTATTTTTATTATAATTTTATGAAAAATCTAAATAAGGTAAAAATTTTTTTAAGTTTTCTTCAAAAAAATTTCTAGGAATGAATATATCTAAAAAAATTATATTTGCTTTTTTTCCTTTTGGAACATGATTTATTTTATGTCCTATTGAAAATGGATTAATTTATTCCTATTCTATTAGCTTTATATATTAATTATTTTCTTCCTATTTAATATATTCTTCATACGAATTCCCATATATATATGGATAAGGAATTTTAGATCCGTAAAAAAGCGTACTTTGATTAAATCTTTATAAATAATAATTACTTAAAGACTCTTTTTAATTGAAATTTTAAAAATCTTTTATATCATTAAATATTATTCCTCCCATAAACCCCAAAAGAGTCCCTATAGTAACCTCCTTTTCACATTCTAGAAAAACTCCTTTACCAGCTTAATGATGTTCTATTGTACTTTCTTAAACTTTTAATAAAAAACCAGTTCTTAATTTAACATTTGGCATTATTTTTTCATATTTATAATCCCAAATACTTACTAAATCTTCAATATCTAAGGTTTCGATCAATGAAAACATTGGAAACATATCCGGATCTACAATTTCTTGTATTTTAGATAGTTCCTCATATCTTCTATTTAATATTATATCAGATTCTTCTATAGTTGCCTTATTTAAGGCATTTAATATGTTAAATATTTATTCTAAATGGTCTATATTTGCGTATTACATTTATTCGTTTATTTCTAATAATTCGATTTCTTCTTTTGCTTAAGTTATATCTAATGGAGTATTTTAGACGTAATATTTACGAGATTATGCTAATAATGAAGATATATAGGCCTATTATTCATATTTATGCATTTTTTTTTGATTTTTTAAGAAATTTTGAATTGTTTATTATATGACTTTTTACTTCATTATTTTTTTAATTTTTTATTATATCTTTTTTAGAGTGTATTTTTTTATTTTTTAATTAATTAAAAATATTTTATGTTTTATAACTTATTTTTTAAAAAATAGTTTAATTTAATTAATTATAACAAAAAATGAGTGAATAAAATTAAGAAATAGATATGATTTTATAATAATAGGCATTTAGATAAAATATTCCTATAAATTTTCTAAGAGAAAAAATTTATCCAGAATTATATGAAGCATTTTTAAATGTAAGAAAATAAATAAGAATTAAATAAATAAGTATATATATATATTTATATCAAAAAAAAAAGCTTATAGATCATGTAACAAAAACAGACGAAATAAGAAAGCATTAAGAAAAATTAAAAAGAAAAAAAGTTTTTGATAAATTAGAATAAAAGAAAATTGAAAAAGAAAGATTAAAAATGGAATTGGGTGCATTTTTTTATTTGAATTAAAAAAGAAACAAAAAAATTTAAAAAAATAATAGGAAGCGAATATGAAAGTAGTGATGAAGAAAGTTTAAATTGTGAAGAATTTGGCCTAGAAAAAGAGGAACTTCAAAAAATTTTAAATGAAAGATAATTTAAGAAAAAAGACGACGATGATGAAAATTAAGAAGATATTAAGGATGATAATGAAGATTCAGAATCTTTAAATAATAAATCAAAAACTAATTTAGAAGACTCGACGATTAATAATTAAAGAAAATAATCAGCATTAAGAGAAAATCTAGGATAAATAGAAGAAAATGAAGAAAGAGAAGAAGGAAATGAAAACGATGATATTTTGGCTGAAAGGGAAAAAATAAAAAACTAATTAAAAGAACAAAGAGAAAGTATGGGATTTAATCCATTAAAATTTTTAGCCTTAAAATTAAAAGAAATACATTACACTAATAAAAATAATGAAAAAAATAAATAAAATTGATATTAGAATAAAAATGAAAAAATAATAAATATAGATAACTAAGAAAAATAAATATAAATATAAATATATAAATATAATATATAAATATAAATATAAATATAAATAATATATATATATAATAATTATATTTTTAAATATATTTTTTTATAAATATTTGTATATATTATATATATTTAATATATTTTAGTTTAAATCGTATATTTTTATGTATGTTTTTTTATATTTATTTATATTTAAATATTTCTATATATTATATATATAATTTCAATAATTTAATTATTAATCCTATTTATATTAATAAAGTACCATTTATCTGTCTTTAGATTCCACTGAATTTATAAGAAAATTGAATATTTTTTTTTTGAATTTTTTTTATTTAACAAATTCTTTAAAATCTTTTGACAAATTAGATAATTATGGTCCTTTATCTGATTTTAATTTTGCTAATTCCATTTAATTATTTACATACCAATTACTAATTTCTTCTCTTATTTTTTCTTTTTGATCATTTAATTAATGATGTTCTTCAAAACATTTATCAAAGAATTAAAGGAAGTATTATTTTAATTTACTTATTTCTTTTATATTTACTTATTTTTTGTCAATATTATCTTCCTTTTTTTAATTTTTTTTATCTTTATCATATTAAAATAAATTTTCAGGCATATATTTTGGCTTTGATATTTTATTTAGATGCTCTTAATTTACATTTTTTTATTTTTTTTTATTTTCAAATTTTTAAAAAGTCTTTAAATAGTCGTTTTTAAGAAAGGAAAATACTGAATTTTCATGAATTAATCTACCATTTTAATATTTATAAGTTGGAGAAGTTCTTTATATATTATTTTTTTTCTAAGAAGAATTTATATTAGGAAAAGATGAAAAAAAAGAATTAAAATTAGAGTTTTTTTAAATTTTTTCTACGTTTTTTTAAGAGTTATCCATTGTTTTTTAGGCCAAATTTTTTAATTATTATTTATTCTATTCAAGGTTTTATAATAGAAGTTATTCTTTGCGTTTTTATTTTTATTTTTTAATATATTCAGTATATATATGTTATTTTTTATCGAGATTGATTACTTTATTAATGAGTTTTTAATCAGTTTTTGTCTATTCATAATCTTCTTTTTATTATTATAATCTTTGATATAAAATATCGTCCTCTTTCTATTTATAATTTTTTAGTTTTTTTTATTTTTATTTATCATTGCCATCATCATATATAATTAATGATGAACTACTGTCTTAATTATGAGATTATTATGATTAATTTTAATCTTCTAATTTAGTTGTATTTTGATTATATTTTTAAAAACCATTGGAATTATGAAATTGAGATTCGCTTTCAAGTTTTATTTGATTTAAACTATTAATATTAGTTAGCTAAACTTTTTTTTAAATATTAATATTTTTATTAAAAAAAAATAAAAATATAATAAAATAAATTATTTAATAAATAATATTTTCATATAATATAAAAATTATATATTAATTAAATTAAAAAAGAAAAAAAATAATTATAAATATATATAAATATATATATATATATATATA